GAGATCAGGGCGTGGTCACGGCAGCCACATGACAAGCGTGAAAACGGGCCAATCTCTCCGTGCATATCATCTGTCTCAATAAAAAAATACATTTAAATGACTATATAAAGATTTATATGAAAAACCTTGGCAGCTCTTTCTAATGACTTTTTTCATGTAAATTTAATGCTAGGCTTTCTTGAGTAAAATGCACACAGACTTCGTTTATCTTTCACAAAAATATATTAGGTAAAGCATACGTATATTCTTCCATATTTATATTTTTTGCCTGCTTTCTAAATGTAAATCAATCCTTTAAAAATAGGTAATGTTCACTGCTTTTTTCACGTTTGATTTGCCTTTTTTAATAGCTGCATTTAAAATAATTTATTCGCAGAGCAAAACACTCTACAATTACACCAAGTAAATCACAGCAATTCAAATAGACAATTTCATTAAACTGGTCGCAGTGGGGTTATGCATGCTTATTCACAAACAATGCAAATATTCTACACACACACACTTTATATGAACTTGTTCAAATGTGCACATATTAATCTTCCCCAACTAAAAATAGAGGGAAAAAAATAATTTAAAAGTCTCCCCCATAGCAAACACTGGCGTAAAAAAAGAAAAAGACAATGGATAAAATCCTAAAAACGCATTCATTAAAGGCACAATCCATAAAGAACCATCATGACATAAATGATGACATGAACTTGCAACAGCTTACATGAAGCACTTTATAAATAGCCTCTCGAGAATATATAGAAGCACCACATAAAGCTTTGATTCAGTACACAAATTTTTCACTTTGTCAGTAACCTCTATTTGGGAAAAGAAAAAAAAATCACCAAATCATTGTCATCCCCTGCTGTTTCGATCGTCCCGTGTGCCACGCCCCTCTCGCGGAATCCCGAATGTTTAACAAGCAATGACGCTAATGAACAGACTCGGAAGGACATAATTAACGCAGACTTCAAAACATTGGACTAATCAACAACAATTAATGCTGAGATTCTGCGCGATCCTCCTATGTGCCTCGCCACCTCGTGCGCTGATCTTCTCCATTTGTGTGTCTGTCGTTGCCGTCAGCTGCACCTTTCCCTCAAAGAGACTGGGGGAAAGATTGAAGGCGACTGGAGGACTGCACCGCCGCGGCATCGATCTGTCCCAGACGCAGAGATTCATCTGGGCAATGCCGTCCAACACCGTGTACCTCTTCGCTTTTTTCTCGGTGCCTTGGGCGGTCACAGTTTTTGCCGGTGATGTTGCCACCACCTTCGCCTTCACCAAAGTCACCTACAGGAACGTAAACCAGTTATTGCTTTTTCTAAACTACTCGTCCAGAAAATCGCGACATTTTACAAAAGGTGTACATTGCCAATGCAAATTCATGATCGAACCTTCCTGCTTGCCGGC